CTCCAGCATGAACAAAATAAATGTGTATTTAATAATATGTAGGAACTATATCATTATTGTAACATAACATTTGGCAAAAAAAAGCACCATGATTTGTGAAAACTGTATTAATTACGTTGCTCAAAAACAGAATTCTGGTTGGCTTCAGTGGCTCATATCTATAATCTCAGTTTCTTGGTAGGTGGCCATCAGGAGGATTGCAGTTTGAGGCCAATCCTGGTAAAAAATTAGTGTGCCTCCATCTCAACAACAACAAAGACTTGGTTCAGTGGTACGCACCTGTTATCCCAGCTCCACAGTAAGTGTAAGTAGGAGAATCGTGGTCTAGGCCAGCCCTGGGAAAAAACACAAGACCCTATCTCAAAAATAACCAAAGCAGAAAAGGCTGGGTGTGTGGCTCAAGAGGTAGAGCACCTGCCTAGCAAGCATGAGGCCTTGAGTTCAATCCCCAATACAAAAAAAGTAGAATTGTCTGAAACATAATTTTTTTAACTTCAACTCTACAAAACATGACAGCTTTTGCAGGGATTAAAGCAATATTATCCTTATTTTATAACCTTTTTGACAAAACAGAAGTCACCATGGGTTATGAAGAAAATTTCATAATGGCTTTTAAACTAAATATATCTCAAGCTTCTCTTCTTTAGCTCTATGGCCACATAATACCATGACTGTTGCTGAAAATAGTTTTTAATCTACTCTTTCTGGACAAGTTATTTTATCAAAAATACAGAAAAAAATCTTCCTTTTAGGTCCTCTATTCTCTAGCCACAGTGATTCTGATATTTGGAGGAGAGTTTCTGAGAGGTTAAGCAATGTGCTAAGTAGAACTCAACTGGAAGTTTTTTTGTATTTAGGACAGAATTCAAGCCGTCATGACAAACCATATGACATTATGTGTAAATTGCACTAGAAAAGAAACGATAAGCAAACTAATGAAGTCAGTCTGCAGAATGTTTTACGCGTTGGTTTTCTTGAGAAGTATTTGTCATCGCAATTCATGTCTTCTTTTTGCTTCCTTTTTTGTACCTTACCTATTCCTGCATGCAAGGATGACTTGTGCTAATTACTTTGATTTTTAAATAATAGTTAAATAAAAATCACAAATTCTCACTCATTCCACTCTTTTCTTACAAGGTGAATTAAATATTTTGATTTTTCTTAATCTGAAATCCATTGACAGGATTAGGATCTATTAATTGGAGGATTAGGCCTATCTCTAAATGCTTTCTTTTCCTTGAAATAAAAAGGCCTAGAGATGAATGTTCAAATATTACCTCTGTTCTGAAGTTTTTCTGAGCAAGTTAATTTAATTGTTATTATGTTGTCAGGTGTTAATATATATATCAAAATATGTTTTATTGTCCAATAGTAAAGACCTAAGAATAGAACCTACAGGAAGCTAGACACAACTGTAAGTATTATTGTAACATATGTATTATTCTCACACTTCTATTTGAAATCTGTATTCTCTTCATTAAGGTCAATGAGTCTTTGCCTATAGTTAGAAACTGAAGAATTTATGACTCCACTCCAAATCTGGTTCCAAAGACTTCCAAAGATTCTAACTATTGTACTAAATCAGCTGCTAGCACTAATGTTTGTTTATCTCCCTTGCTACAGAGTGAACTCCTTGAAATCAGAGGTCAATACTGTATACATCTTTTTAAATGCCAGCATAGTGCCCACTGAGTATATCAGCCACAATAAATGAATATTGAAATAAAAATCACCAGCATCATCTAGATTGTAATCCCAGATGATGTATTGACTATTTCTAAGCAGTCATTATATGCCAAATGTATAATGGCCCACACATTCACTCATTTGTAGAAACATCAGGTGTCTAAATCATGTAGCTTATTTTCTTTATTTTATTATATAATGTATTTTATATTTTGATATTATATTCAGCATAGCATTTTAGAAGGTATGGCAATTATACCATTTAATGGAAGACATTTCATAAGCCTCATAACAGCATTATCTATTTTTCCTTAAGAATATAAAAGAAAGCCAAGCATGTACAGGCCTGCACTTTCCTTTACAAGTCTGAATAATACTCCCTTGTATGTTATACTACTTTTTTGTTTACCCATTCACCTGCAGAGGGATACTGAAGTTGCTCCATCCTTGGCTATTGTGAATAATGCTGCTATGAAAAAAGTATATAAATGTCTTTTTGTGACATTACTTTTGATTTCCCAGGCATGCACACAGAAGTGGAATTTCTGGATAAACAATAATTCTACATTTGATATTTTTTAGGCACTTCTATTCTGCTTTTACATGGCAGATCAATCATTCTACATTCTGTCACAACAGTTATAGATTCTCCAACTCCTCACTCACATCTGCTATATTCCGTTTGTTTTGAATAAAAGTCATCCTAATAGGTAAAAAAAAAAAAAAATACAGGCCTGTAATCCCAGCACTCAGGAGGCTGAGGTAAGAGGATCAAGGGTTCCAGGCAACCCTGGGCTATAGAGCAAGACCCTGTCTGAAAACAAAACAAGGCTATAAAAGAAAATCACATAATATAATTAGATAATATAGACAATTTTAAAATAAAGGAAAACTTAATGACTTTACCTGCAATTCCACAAGTGACAGTCAGTGCTAATTTGACCATGCAATTAGAAGTACTGAAACTGATAAAATTTATAAATTTATAATTATGTTAGTGCCGTGAGTGAATTAGTGAAAGTTGATTTACTATGGGAAAAGAAATTTGTAAAGTGTTATGATCTGCTAAAGTATTAATAACCATATTTAGGCTATATATTTAGTTTTTCTTTTAACAATATATCCTATCCTCATTCCTATTAATAGATTAAACAAAGTTTGAAATATCCAACTCTTCTACCAAAACAAGAAAAGAAGTTGTGGGACTTGTTTTCTTTGATAACTATTTTTAAATCAAAGCAAGTAGAGCAAGTCTACCTTCAACTGAGTTTCTGTGAAACTATTAAGATAACTCTGTGTTTCCCTTTTTCTCTGTTGATACAATTTAACAAAAGTTTATCATCCCTTGCTTAGGGATAAGCAGGTAGATTGACATTTTGCCCATGACAAAACAAAATTTTGAACCTATGGCACATTATTTGTTTTGTTTCATTTAGGTTATATTAGTTTTTTGTTTTTGTTTTTTTAAGACAGGGTGTCATATGTGACCCAGGCTGGCCTTGAACTCACAATGCTCCTGAGTGCTGGGATTATAGGCACTCACCACCACACCTGGCTGTAGCATCGTATTTGTTAAAGCAAAAACTATCAATAATGACTGGTTAAGTAAATTAGAGTGCAGCCATTCCAACATATTATACACTCAATACGCCCACTATCAAGAATGAGTCAGGTCGTTCTCTCTTATGTAAAACGATCTGCAAGGCACTCAAAGAGAGCAAGGTGCAGGGGTGTAAAGTATGCTAACATAAAATGACAAAAGACCTCCTGAAATGTTTCCATGTGCACACATTTTCCATTCAAGTTGTTTAACAGTTAAACAACCACCACCATAAAACGTTTTAGACTGCTAAATAAATGATTCCCTTTTGAGTTTGCACTGCATATGACCTCTGTCCTACAGCTCCTAGCTATTAAACATCTACAATTTCAGCATTCCTTCCAACTTAATAAATACGGAGAAGTTCCTACATATGAAATTTCTTCTTAAATTTCTACTTGGATGGGAGGAAAAGGTAGCCCTCCTTCATGGATTACTCTTTCATCCTTATCCTGACATTGTCAACAAGAAGGGCCGACGTACAGCCGAAGCACTGTGCAAAGGTGGAGAGTCTGGCCACAGCTGGTTCCTGCAGAAATGAAGGGAATCCAACATCCAGGGTCCTTTAAACATTTGCTCCTTCCCCCTTTTAAACAGAAGGGCCTTCTTTCTTCTCTTCCATGAAAGAGTTTCCTGTTTCCTTTCCTTTATTGTGCTTTATTGGAGATGGCAGGCCTTAGAATTGGCCTTCCTGACACTTGTGGCAATGTGCACATGTAGAAAAGGAAAGTTTCTCTGGGTGAGGAAGCTGAGACTTCCAGACAAAAGGAATGTGCCACAGACATACTGCAAGGTCCCCTCCATAAAGAGCTAACCGAATCTTGTGTTCTGTTGACTGAGCCCCTTGAAATTGAGCCACTTCTGGAACACAAAAGCAACAAGTATCCTAGGACATCCTTGCTATTTAAGGAAACTTTTTGGACAATTGATCAGTCACTACTATCCTGTGAATGCCTTGTACCCAGAATTTTGTGGTTTTGATTCAGACTCTCAGAATACTACAGAATAAGTATAAATTGGGAATGTTATTTTCTCCTTTCCCCAGTATAAATATCCTATTTGGCAAGTAAAAATGCAAAGTTTAGCATTCTGGGATATAGGTTTTCTTTACAACAATATATATATATCTAGCCTCATTCCAATCAATAGATTTCAGGTTAAGCAAAATTTGGAATATTTAATCACCTGGCAAGAGAAGAGTGGAATATGGGAAGATTTGTGATTGTTGTTTATTAATTATCTTAAAATCAAAGTAATTAGAACAAGTCTTCCTTGCATGTAGGAGTATTTATAATACTTCAAATTAATTATTTGATACAAAATCAGCATGCATTTGTTAGCTGTGTTTCCATATTCATGTCCTCTTCCTGAAAACCACCAACTTTGTATTACTTTTGTGGGCATTTCCTCCCTTTGCCAATGGGGATTGGCCATTTAGGTAAATATTGCTAATTTATTAAAAGGTATTTTTGAAAGTAGAAATGTAAAATTCAATCACATACTATCATAATCATTTGAGTTTATCACTGGAGAAGATATTTTCTTTAAAGTTACTCAATACTGTCTCACATTTAGACATGTATTTTCTCTGATCATTTTTAAACCTGTCACATTTCTTTTCCTCTAAAACTATAGCATGTGCTTGCACACACACACACACACACATACACACACACACACACACACAGCCCACTAAGATCACGATCCCAGAATGTATCTATACTTGTAACATATCATGATAGTAAATGTTAAATTTTATTTCAAGGACTATCACAACCTAGAGAGAAATATAATCTAAGCATCGAGATAGTACACTTCAAAAAATAGTCTAGTATTTTCATGCTAAATTTTAGGTGTCCATCAATTGTTATCCCAAGAACTTCAGGCATTCTAAACTCTAGAATTAAAAGTAGAAAGGGTTATGCATTTATGAACTATAAACTGAAATTATTTATTTCAATTCAATATAGAATATTTATCAGTCAAGATAACAATCAATGTGTACAAAAATTTACATAAGAGAAAACAGACAATGTAGCACCCTTAGAAAAATACTTAAAAGTTTTGTTGCATTTACAGGTTAAGTGCCACACTGAGAATTTACAACACAGTAATTTACTGCAATCACAAGGGAGTTTCATAAAGAAACAAAGCTCTTACACTCCACATTTTTGGAAGGTATTGTTGGAATGCTTAACTATAACCACAGAATTTATACATCCTTAAGACTGAGCTGATAAAAGTCATAAGTGATTTTCATAGCATATATTATATAAAAGAAGTCCACTGCATTTAGACAACTGGGTTAGTGTCTCTGACAGGTGTGAAGCCTAGAAGAATTACTGGCTTGGTAATGATCTTTCTGTATCCGGCATGACAGCCCTTCTCCACAGTAACAGCGCTGAAATATTTCCAGCCCATGGGAGCCTTTTCTCCTGTGCTTGGTGCACACTTGCCCTTCTTTGAGGACAGGTTTACAGATCTTGGACCAGAAGTGTCTAGCACAACACAATCCTGTGGCACAGTCTGATGATCGGAGACAGACAGAACCTTCTTGACCTGTTAAGTAGACAGTAAGAAAAGTACATAGTTACTGCTAACCCTGCAGCATTCCATTAAAACAATTCAAAAGACACCTCCAATGTGCTATCAAAGAAGAATGACTCTTAAGGCTCTTTAATCTACCTTTGGTGTGATACATTTTTGAAGACAGTGTAGTTCTTCTGGAGTACCCATCCAAGGTGCTGGGATCATTACCAAAGCTTTCAATGATGGTTTCCTCAATTTCCCCTCGATGGAAATTACTGTGATCAGAAGGCATACATATTCCTAAGGAAGCCAGAAATAGTGGTTATTTACCAGGTTGCCAGGTGTTACTGCCAACCGCCAGAAGAGAAGCAATTTGAAATGCCTACATGGAGTCGAGATACCTCATTGTAGCTACTTTCTTTACACAAGAACCAAACTCCCTCCCTAGAATTAATGCTAACTCCTGTCAGATAGACAGGCAGAATTATTAAAATCATGTGCAAGATCCTTGGTATGGCCATTTGAAAGACTTCCCCACTAACTGTAAGTAGTGACAGGCACATTTATGTTCATTTTAGTATCATCCCTGGGATAAGAAAAAGAAAAGGAGTCACTTAAAAAAAAGTTCTTAAAAATAACTTCTCTGCCCTTCTCTTAGTCAGGGCATTGCCTGACTAAGTTAAATCCAATTCCAGCTGCCTGGAAGATTGCACTCTCACCCAGCAGTTCCTTTACTATATAATTTCTGTATTACAGAGATTTCATTAGTTCATGCTGGGTCCTAAGGATGGTGGCCACCCAGTAAGTTTATTTCTGGAGACCTCTTTGGCTGTCTGAATCTACCTCTTTGAGACATTAAAATTTTGTGGATCTATGGGGGAGAAGTGCTTATTTTAAGGTAGCAGAGGATAGAGGTAAGGAGAGGTCAGGATGTGAGGATACCAAGAGCCCCCTTAAAAATGGTCAGTGCCCATAAATTACTCTGGGCTCTGTCTGACAAGAGTTTCAACATCCAGACATCAGGAAGGACAGGACAGTTTAGTAATGTCATAAGAGTCACCTTAAGAAAAATGGAATGGACAGCTAAATGCGCCAATGCTGGTTTCCTTGGCTCTCTTTCACAAAAACCTCACTGTCTGCACCGCCCCCCCCGCCCCCCCCAACCACCCATAGTCTTTGTCAATTGACTTCAAGGCTCCCTGAAGGGAAATTTTTATGGAAGAATTCACTTCAAGGTAAACTATTGTGTTAAGTCACTGGACACGGAGGAAGAGAAGGAGCGTTAAGACCTCCAGACTGCTCTTTCCTGATGAAACATTGACAATGAGACAATTTCAGAAAAACGCAGCCTGCCGAACCCCGTTTGCAGGTGGCGCCTGGGCATTCGCAGAGCAGAGCGTTTTCTTTCGCTCCTAGGCACTCAAGGACGGGACGGTTGCATCTGAACGCGAGCGGGAGGACTCACCGTTTTTGCAGTAATTCCCGGGGCAGCACATAGCGTGCCGCATGCAGCGCTTTCGCCGCTTTCTGCAGGCGAGACAGATCTGCACGCCCGCGCCCCCTCCGCGGGTGGGACTCGCGCAGTACTCGTCTGTGCTGCACTCCTCGTCCTCTGCGCAGGGGTACGGCTATGGGAAAGGCCCCAGGAGAAGGTGAGGGGCCTCCTGGACCCCGAGGCTCCTTACAGCCCCTACTTTTCCGCCCTCTCCAAAAGTTGTGGCAGCCCCCTGCTTCCAAATTCGCCCTCAATCTCACACATCCAGCCTGTTCGCCATCCTCTCTAAATGAGATCCTCTCATGGTCGCGGAGTCCCTGCATCCCCACGACCCCTCTCACCTGGTAGTGGTCAAGGGTCTGGTACTTGTTCCCGCCCTCATACAGAATTCCTGGCGCCACGCTGACTGTGGAGCCCGGGTGGCCAGCAGCGCCGCCCAACGGCGGGGGCAGGTTCTTGATAGCATTGGAATTGACCAGAACTGAATTTAAGGTGGCGTTCACTTCAAACCCAGGGTGGCTGCAAAGAACAGCCGCGATAAGGGCGACTAAGAACCGGGCAGCTCCCACTACACCCAGAGCCGTCATCTCAGAAGGACACCGTGCTGGCGCGGCTGCAGAATCCGGGTTTCCGGAACCTCCAGCGGAGGAGTCCGGGCTGCCGTGCGCACGGAGCTCTGCGCGGCCACCGCCGCCACGGCTGTCTTTATACTCAGCCTCCGAGCATTCCCGGCCCCTCGGGGGTAGACAACAAAAGCAGGGATGGGATTTCAAAGCGTTGGGAGGGGCTGGGAAGGGGTGTGTTTGTGTACGCGGGGCGGGGGGGGGGAGAGGACGGAGACTTTGACACTCTTCACTCCGCTCCTCCCTTGTAAGGTCCTTCTGCTGCTGGCCCAGGTTGGAGTGACAGTTATCAGTAAGCTTTAGAGCAGATGACTTTAATAAACACAGAGGCAGAACTAGAGGAGCCCGGGGGTCCTTGCCTCGCAGTAGGGATTGGATTATTTGTATCTGAAATACTTTTCAGAAGAAAATGGCCATAGTCTCTACAAAGCCACTTTTCGCCCCTTTCCCTTAAGCCAATACTCCCTTATTGTACACACAAATAATATTCAATATTAAATACAATCCCTAGGGAGATATCTCTGGGAGAGGGTCAGGTGGCCTGTGTGAGTTGCTGATTAACCCGTTAGCGTTGGGATTCGCTAGTTTGGATGAAGTTCGCCCAGTTGCTTTCCGCTACCCCTCCCTCTCCCTGCCACCAGGAGAAAAATGTGCAAAGACAAGGAAATTTGCACATCAAACGAGGATAAGAAGGAAGAAGAACTAATTCTCTTTTGATGGGAAGTTTAGAGAGGGAGGCGAGAGACTGGCATTTGGAAATTAGATCAGGGATGGAGGGAAGAGGGAAATGACCATCCCCTAATCAAACTATTTAATGTAGTTCTTTGAATCTGGTCAGTCAGGGCAGTAGATGAACTTGATTAGGCAGTCACGCGAGATCAAAGTGGCCCGGAGCCAGAGCGGACAGGGTCCATCATGCCAGGTCAGTCGTCTTTGCCTGGTTCCCCTTTCTCAGTGGTGGGTTAATGGAGGGAGATAAGAAACCCTAAAGGCTTAGCGCCTGACTTCCTCATTAGTATTTCATATGCCAAAGTTTGAGAAAGCTTGTGTTTGATCCCAAGTCAAATCTTTCGCAGGACGCAAGACAGAAAAATGACTCCTCTAGGAAGATACCAGACTACTTTGTGGAAAAGGAGAGCTGAAACCAGAGAGTAAATTTTGACATCATTTATATTAGTTTATAGAAATTATAAGGTAAAGCTGGTATATGAGAATGTTATCATGCTATGAACTAAAAACAATTATTTCCTTGATCAATAAAAGTATATTGATAACCAAGTGTCCTGACAATGTCCTACCATTCAAGTTGCCTTTGATCTCTTATTATCATTATGATTTATATGTGTGTGTGTGTGTGTGTGTGAGAGAGAGAGAGAGAGAGAGAGAGAGAGAGAGAGAGAGAGAGAGATGGCGGGAGGTGTTCAGAGTATGCAACTATTTAACAGTGTTCTCATTTTAGAGAATAAAGTTCAACTTCTCTTTATTCTAATTAGGTATAAAAATATAGGGATAATAAAATTATAGAATTAAAATGATAATATGTACATAATTCTTTTGAAAACAGGTTGGTATTATAAGTGTGAGAAAATGGACAAATACTACTTCCAAATAATTTGGAAAAGAAAGAGATGATTGAAAATCACTACTGAGAAGAAAAGACTGGAATGTATTTATTCGTGTTCCCCTAACCTCTAGGGTATCTATAATTATTCCATACTGACCTACTGTAATCATGACTGGGAGGGCCACCAAGTATAGCCAGTGATAGTCTTGACCAAATGTAATCTTAAAGCTTAAGGAGAAGGGGTATTTAAGAAAACTCTTTGTGATAGTCTGTGTTCTGGTTCCTTGAGTTTGAGGATTCCTGTTAAGAATGTCTTCTAGACAGTTCCTTAATGATGCCTGTAATTACACTGATGTCCTTCTCATTCTGACTTCCATCTATCCTGGGAAATTTCCACTGGCAGATTGATAAATTCCAGCTTGAAAGGCTTACATCGATTAAATCCTACATAATTCTTTAGGTTTTTTAATGAATGCATGCAATGGTGTAGGTTGGACTGATTCTGTAGAAATATTTAGAACAAATTGAAAATTTAGAAGCAAAGTTAGAGGCTTTTAAATAGTCTTTTCAAAGGTGAGCATCAGAAATGAGGAAGTAAAAATGAGCATGTGAATTAGCAATGAATTAGGTCTTCCTGGACAAATGTGACTACATCAATGGACTTCAAGTTTACATAATCACAGAGACATTATAGGGTATAAGGGTAAAGGAATAGGAGATTTCAGGGACCCTATTATCATTTGCAGATATCAATAGTATCAGTAATCAATGTGTTGAGCACCTTTGGTGTACTATTAAAACCTGTAAGCCATCTTACATTTCTATGATGTTGAAATGTGAGGACAGAATTCCCTGTCTATGTGAAAACTGAAAAATCTCTCTTCTTGGCCCTATATCCTATTTAGATATTTATAGAAATATACATATAAGGCTAATCATTTTCCCTGTTTTCAAAAGAGATAGTCTACAATTAATACATTTTACCTTAATAATCATAGTTCATCAAGAGCTTGGATTTGCAAATAAAACCAACTGACTGGTTTTGATCTCCATTTTGCATGTTCCTTCTGAAGTTGTCATGAGTTTAAAATTCATAATGAATAGGACAATATCTGAGTTCCTACTATGTGCTAGGCACATTGTACTTGATGCCATTTGATAAAAGAGACATATTATATTATCTACCTTCATGTTGGTAGTTGGGAGGAGGAATAAGCTCACAGATTACACAGGAGAGAAATTGTGATGGTGATCCTCACTCAGAGAACGCTGGAAATAAAGGAAGACAACCTTTTGATCCAAATGGAGTCACATACATGTTCAGTAGCGCTTCCATTTGAAAATCCTTTCCTTGATTTTGTTTTTCTCATAGGCATCAAGAGCAGAAGGTAGGTAAGGAGGTAAAATGAAGTTTATTCATCTTACATGAAAGAGCGGGCTCCTTGTCTTCAGAAATTTTTCAGTCTCCAAGTAACTGGAGAAACACAAGATCTTTACATGGAAATGGAGTTGAGTTTTTTTTAAATTATTTATTGATAAATATTGGTCATGGTGAAGAAAAGAAAAAGTCCAGGAAGCTTGACCAACAAGTCTCAGGGAATGGAGGTCTGATGACTCTCTCTGCATCTCTCCTACAGCTGGGTAACAGAGGTGGTAGGAACAGGGTAGGTAGGTGTAGTCTATTAAACTTAGTTTATTTTGTTCTATAGGGAACCCTGCTTCTTATTTAATTGGTTTATGACCATAACTAATGAAATACATTTAATATTTTATGTTAAATTTTAAAAGAGAAATGTGTTTATAGAATATCCATCAACCTTTTCATCCCTGAGGCAGACAAGCACACTCCCCAAAACACCATGCTATGTGCAAACTATTTTTCCACCTTTGTTATTTGAAGTTCTTTTGTGACCGCTGCATTTTAAATTCTTTTCTTCTCTCCTACTCTCCCTCCTTCTTCTCCTTTCTTTTTGCTAAATCAAATGAAGTAGGGGGTAGATATGTTGCTGTTTAATTTTATTTCACTTGGAAAACAATGAGTAAATGATGACTTGCCAACATTTTTGTTGGTGCCAATCTTGAATTTATAGCATGGATTCCTCATTCCTGATGTTTAGTAAAATGTTATTACTTTCTCATCGGCTTTTAAAAGATTTTTTGGTCTTAACGCTCTTTGTAATATTTAAAGAGCTTTCTGACCAGGCATGTTATGACCCCGCTGAGAGCGTGAATTTTTGCAGTTGGAAGTACAAAGAGGAGATATTTGACAAGGATTATTTTCATTTGCTCACTGGAGATGGCCAGCCCGGATAAATCCAGCTTCATGGTAGCTTTCTAACCTAGCTCAAAAGAAGATACTGGAGCACATTAAAAGGTAATCTGAGTATAACAGCTCAGAACCCACGAAGTTCTGACTACATACTCTAGAGGATGGTGCCTAGAGTAGCGCTCTGCTGCATCCTCTCTGAAGTCCTGACATTCAGGTCTGTGAAGGCACAGTACAGCAGCTTCTTTCCCCAAAGGATTTAATATTTCCGACCATAAAGATAGGCCAGTGTCAGCAGAAAGCAGGATGTGAGATCCCTATGAAAACGCCACCTGTTGTGGAGAGAAAAATTGTTTTCCTCCTTGTTACTGAGTTCCTATTATTACCTCCTTCATAACATGGGCGTTCTCCAAGGGTTATGGCCACATGAAGCCTTGCACCATGGTGTCAGGAGGCTGTGGCTAGGACTCTGTACACTGAAGTACTTCCACTGTGACAGTCATCACTTGGTAAATATGGGACACACCGTGATAAAGCCATTTAACTCCGCATTGGTTTTTCATTCATATATGGACGCAGGGGAGGTAGAAGAGGCCCCTCTAAACACAAAAGCATTTCTCCCTCTCTCCAAGTGCTGCCAGGGCAGGACCTTTTGTCTTCTGATTAAATGTCTTGCCAGGGCCCTGTTCAAGTAATAATCATTGCCACCCATACTTTGAATCTGCTGATTTCAAAGAGACTGGCATGTAAGATTTAAGTCCCTGGAAATAAAGTGAATTAGTTGAATGTGGTGATTTTCTAAAAGATGTATGTGTGTGAGTGTATGGTAGTGGGAAAAGGGGAGGAGGGAGGAGAAAGGATGGGAGAGATTGTTTTTCCATCACAAAACTGGGTGCAATATTGGAGAGCAGATTTATCAATAAATTTCAGATTAGTAAATTGTATTAGGGCCTTGAGAATAAAAATAGAAGAGCTTAGAATGCCAGAGAATGAACCAGATGTAGGCAGAACGATTAACTTTGGGCAAGGAAAGGAGGGGCAGATATATAATTGGCACAAGGATTCATCTCCCTTCAGCCAAAAGAAAACCTTCTCTCAGGAGTCAGTAGACATGGGGAGTTACCTCCAGACTCCACCACCC